CCTGCTAAAGCTGCTCCCTGCTCTGGGCTCTCCCCTTGCATCCACCTCTCTTCCCTCCCTTGACTCATTAAATTCTGCTGCATCCCAGCCCACGCCTCCGTGTCATCCTTTCCCCTGCAGACACTCTCCCAAGGCACAGATGTTGCCCCAGGGGCTTTCTGGGAGGGGTTTCTTGGGGATGGTTTTGCACCATTTGTCAGGCTGGCCCTGAGTGAGCTCTGTCCTGTGTGGAGTGACCCTCTGGTGTCTGAATTTCTGCCTCTTTGCCTCAGGACACAATTACCCTCCACTGTCCACTGACAACCAGATGTTTGCACATCTTTTCCTTTTCCTCCCTAAGCTCCACTCTGACACAAGTTCTCAGCATTGAATATCTTACTGACCCGACACAGGCACCAGCTTCTCCTCCAGACTCCAGGAGAACTCTTCCTTACCACAGGATTCTCAAGGGGAGGGACACAGTGCAGTGGCTGCCTTCTCACACACCCACGGGATCATGGAATCATTGATTGATTTTTGTTGGCAGAGACTGATATAGGTCATCCAATCCAACCCTCCTGCCATGGGCAGGGATATCTCAATTCCATCTCCCCCATTTCAGTTTAAAACCATTGTTGCTTGTCCTGTCACTACAGGTCTCCATATAATTAATTTCTCTCTCCAACTTCCTTATACACCCCCTTGACATATTGGAAGGCCACATTACGATCTTCCCAAAGCTGCTCTTCTCCTGCCTTAAAAGCCTCAGCTCCTTCAGCCTTTCTCCATAGCAGGGTTGGTTTATCTGTGTGATCATTTTTGCAGCCCTTCTCTGCAGGACAGCTCTCCATCCATCCACCCCGCTCTCTCTGTTGATATTGAGGATTGTCTCAAAGGAGTTGCAGGACCTTGGACTTGTTGAAGTTTCCAAGTTCCACCTGGGATCATTTCTCTAGTCTCCCAACATCCCTCTGGATTGGAACCCTTTCCTCAGGTGTAGCTATTCCTCCCCTCAGCTTGGGGTCATTGCTGAGAATCACAGGATCATTAAGGTTGGAAAAAACCTTCAAGATCCCCATGTCCATCCCTTGACCCAAAACCCATAAGGCAAATAAACCATATCACAAAGGGCTATGAGGGTGCACCCAGTCCCACTATCTATGTCATGGATGAACATACCAAACAGCATTGGTTCCAGGATGGACCCCTGGAGGACACCAGTCATCACTGGTTTCCACTCAGACCTTGATCCCTTGACCCAAAATGCTGCACATTCAGCCAAAATGCCCCTTGGCCTCAGTGCCTGTGCTGCAGAAGGGACATGCGGCCACTGTGACATTGGTTGAGAAGCCTGGGCTCTGGAAGGCCTTGGGAGAACAGAAGCCCAATAAACTCCTGGGAAGACCACGGGAGCAGAAAGGGAAAGATTGGAGAAGCATCTGTTCCTCTTCCCCCGGTTGCCATCGCTCTGTGGGAGGGGCTCAAGCACAAAATGGCTTCAGAGGACAACAGGAGAGGGAATGAGGGAACCAGGATATGCTGGCACTGGCTGGGATTGAGGTCACTGTCTTCAGAGCAGACAGGACAGATGACCTCAGCTGACCAAAGGGCTATTCTCTGTCATATGGAATAACAGAATCACAGAATCTTTATGTTGGAGAATCTCTCTAAGATCAAGGAATCCAACCATTAACCCAGCACTGCCAAGCTCAACACTAGACCCTGTCCCCAGGTGTCCCATTT